GATGAATGAAGGTCTTACAGGTTTGGAACGACATGAGGGTGAGTATTTAATGACAGAACTTTAATTTTTGCGAGAACTATCCCTTAAATACAAAAAAATCTGCAAGAGAGAATCTCAAATATAAGGAAGTTTTCATTTGTTTACAATGTTTAGTCACTACATAACCATTATTTCATTGTGAGTGATCAATTTACTATGTAGAAAATATTTATACAGAATGAGTAAATGTGTCTAAAGGTTTTCTGCTGATGACACTCGTAGTGAATGATTGTATTGGCACAGCCAAACACAATTTATTCTATAATATTAACTAGCAATAAAGCATAATAGCTTGACTCATTACTAAGAACGGACTGAAATTAAAAAGCAAAAGCTGGAACCTAAAGGGATAAATGTTCAGATGTGTGAACCACAAAATGAAAATAAAATGAAAATAGCAGTACTAAAGATGTGACATACTGAAGTTATTGGCGAGCAGAGGAGAGGCCGAGACAGGGGCCTGGGAGAAATGCTCTCTTCTGCTGCGCTGCTGCTTCAGATTCTAAACACACAACAGGAAAGATATGCCTCAGTTAAAACAATAAAATAACATTCACTCATTACAACTCAACTAAATGTCATCTTCTTTTAAAACACAAGTTATTTAAACAAAAGAAAACTGACATGAAAATCAAAAGAAAGAGCAGGTGGTTTCATAGGACCGTGGTGAACAGTAAACATTATGCGTTTTTGCTTTGCTAAGGATCTGATCAAATATTTAAAAGCCTAACAACTGCTTGGCATGAAATTGATGATGTTATAAAAGTGCGGCAGTGACCATTTAAAAACAAAAACAAAAAAAAACCTCACCTCTGTTCTCACTTCCAGGACTGACTTGAAATCGTTTGACATTGATGCCAGTTTGGACTGCAACACAAACATTTACATATAAGACTGTTCCGCAGCAGGAAAATGAAAGGTGTGGTAGTCAAGTCATCTCATGTCAATCAAAATGAGATCAACCATCCCTACTGTCTACAGCTAAGGATATTTGAGATAATACTTCCTATAGAGTCTGGAATATCTGTGCACTGCAGCAATATCAGATATAAGATTGTACCTGCAGGGAGACAACAATTGTGTTGGAATGTGTCTGGATGTGGCGGCCATTTTGCCCACTGCGGGATCGTACAAGGTCTTGCAGCTGCGCTATCTGCTTGTTCAGACTGTTGATGTCCTGATGAGAGACACAGACGGCATATATCAGATCATTGCAAGAGGTTTGCTCTTACACAATATTGTAGTTAGCTGAAAAATTCTGGTAAACAAAAAAATACCAACACACCTACAGGCAACTTCAAAGTCAATAAAGTGAAATAAGCAAGAACTGAGATATATGGAGAATGACAACAGAGATGTCACTAACCTGTTTAATGATGTACGTTAGCTCCTCAATCTCCACTGCTTTATCATCGAACAAAGACTTCCTTTTGGCCACTAGGAGTGAGGGAAGGATAAAAGTTTATAATGACACCAGACCGTACAGTGTAAGAAATCGATAACTCTAAATCAATCATATTAGACCTTAAAGTAATCTAGGGGACTGCCAAATAACCATGGACAAGCATCAGAACAATTCTGTTAAAATACACATTCATCCACCACCAATAAGAGTCTTGTTACTCACAAATTGTAAGCTTTTCAAGCTTGGCAAACGTGTTGTTCAAGTCTTTCCCAATTCTCCTGTTTCGGAGAAGAAAAAAAACAAGGTTTCAGGTGGGCAAAGTTTTGAGGAAGCAAGACAAGGCACAGTTGCCCTGAAGCAAAGAAACACTGGGCAAAGACCAAATAAAAACATGGATATGCACTCTTACTTGGCCATAAGAGTGAAGTCACTGCGCTGTTTAATGGCATTAATGGCAGGTTTAGTGTGAGTCCCATTCTGAAAAGACAGAGGAATTGTTTTTTACCAAAAATATTAAATTGTTGTAATTATGCACCAAAATGTAGCATTACAAACAGCTGATAAAAACATCACAATGGTGGGAATTGTGGATTGTGATGTTTTTTATCAGCTGTTTATCTCTCATTCTGACGGCACCCATTCACTGCAGAGGATCCAT